CTCAGTTTGTACCTGCCCAGGGATGGAGAGCAACCCAGGGCACACACTGCTCAGCATTCCAGGCCAGACACTGTCTAGCTCCTCTGTGCTCTGTCCTCTGATGGGACCCAGTCCCTGCAGCTCCTCTGAGTAACTCAGCAATAGCTCATCCCGGGATTGGTAAATCTGGTGGAAATGTCTCCAGAAAGGCTCAGGAATGCAGCAGCCTATGCTATTGCCTTCCTAGTGCTTCACAGTTTTCCAGACTGGAGTATTTTGCTTGCTTCATGCAACCACTATTTATTATTTAAATGATGAATCTGGAAAATTTCCCAGATCTAATGTCTGCCCCATTACTTTATGTCTTGGATGCTGCAGATAATCAGATGAGCAGTAAATCTACTCTGTGGAATAGAATGAAATTATTTCCTTTTTTTTCCCCTCTGTCAAACAACCTGTGAATGATTTTTCTTTTCTTCACTCCGATTAAATACCTACTAGGTAAAAAAAAATCTGTGTGCCAAATTCAGAGTTATTCCATCTGTATCTCTAAATGATGCATCTGCAGGAACACCCCTGGGAGTGTGTTTATCTCAGGTGGCAGGAAAGATTGTGTGAAATAATCCCCAGCACTGGTACTTTCATACTCTGGGGTGATTTGGGGTTGTTGGTTTGTGTTTGGTTCTCTTTCTTTGTTTAGGTGAGGGGTTTTAGCTTAGTTTGGTTTTTGGTTGGTGTTTATTTTAGCCAGGTTTGATTGTGCTGTTTCTCCACTGTCTCTGATTGTTCCTGACGTTTTTCCTGAATTTCTCTGGAGCAAGCCCACCCTGCTGAGCAGTGAGGGGATGTTTGCCAGTGGCCCAGGTGCTGCTGAGCTGCTGTTGGGTGCTCTGGCTCTCAGGAACAGCAGTGCAGGGGCTCTGGGGCCACACTGAGCCCAGGCAGCTCTCACAGTCCTGCCCTGGTGAAGTGGTTGTGACACAGCCTTGGGAGAAAACATGAAGAAAACCCCTCCCAAGAACAAACAGCTTGATTCTGAGCCTCCACACCAAGTGTGAATTACACCTCTTCTCTTGAAAACAAGATGGGGGTTTTTTTTGGTTTTTTTTTTTGGGTTTTTTTTTTTTTTTTTTTTTTCCTCCCACCCCTTCCAAGGTGATGAGAAACTGAAGGTCAGGAATGAGCCCCCCAAGGCTCATGAAGAACAAAATATGATGTGTTTGGACTGATGTGAAAGCTTCATGGGGAAGATCAACATGCAAAGGCTGCAGCCAAGGAAAGGGGGCTTGTTTGGGCACAGGCATTGCTGGGAATGGGAAGTGTGAAATGCTGGGGCAGGGAACACACAGCCCTTCAGCCCTGCTCAAAAATAATAGTGCAGGCTTTTTTTAACTTCAGAGTTTAGTCTGCCCTCAGTAAAAACAAGTTACATTAAAAAACTGCGCACCAGAAAAAGCAAACCTCTTTTTCCTGCTCTCTGCTTATAAGATTTACAGGTACTTAAAATAAACCTATGAAAAACAGACCCAGTGTGCTGGAATTTGCTAACTAGTGAGAGCAATTACCTCCAGGTCCCAGGACCTAACGGAGCTCGGCTTTTTGGAAATAAAACTTGGCAAGCCCTTCTTCCTGCTGCTGTTGTAAAGGTGTACATGAAAAGATGTGCTGACCTCTGCCAGAAACCCCAGGAATCCAGTTCAGAGAGATTCTCCTGTGGAGGGGATGGCTGGGATCAGGCAGCACAGATGGGGAAAAGGCAGCAAAAAGCATTCACTGCTCATTGTGTGGCTTCGGCGTGGCAGATTCTTTGCAATTGCCTGGTGTACCACAGTAATTAAATGGGTCAAGAGCAGTAAGTTCAGATACTTAACAAGAAAATAAAGACCTCACTTGACAGCCAGCAGCAGGCCGTGCTTGTTTCACAGGAGTAAGGAGAATTAGGGCAGGTTGTGCTGTAAAAGTCGATGGGAGCCTTTTTGGCAATGAGTTTGTATTGCTGCAGAGATCACCTCCCAATTAACTGTAAGTGCTGCAGTGGCTGAAGTCAGGTTGTCTTATGAAACTAATGCTCCAATTTCAGATGTCCTAGAAAAAGGGAAACAATAGACTCTGTTTTTCTCCTTTCAGTGATATATAAGTAAGGGAAGATAAGAAAAGTAATGAGAAAGACACAACCAACCTTTGTTAATACTGAAATGTAAAATACTCCCATTTTCACTGGACTGAGGGGAAAATGAAGTTGTGCAATGAAATAAATATGATAGAAGTGAAATTCAAGATGGGAACTGATTTTACTAAGACTGTCTGTTTTGGAGGGTAGAGGTAGTTTCACAGCAGCATTTTGAAGGAAATTATTTGTTGTTGTCAGTGCCCATCATTCCTGGCTGGAGAAAGGAGCTCCTGTTTCCCACAGCAGTTTTAAAAGTCCTTTGGGAAGGATGAGATCTTCCTCTTAAAATATTAAGGGACAAGAAACAAGAATCTTAAGAAAAAAATGAAAACCCATAAAATGTGTTCTGCCACAAACCAGGAGCTCTCTGCAGACCACCCCCCCTTGCAAATTAAGAGATGGGACCAGCTTTGTTGCTGTGTTTGTAAATTCTTTTGGACTGAGCACTATTAAAAAGGTTTATTTTATTATTACTTTGTGCTCTCCTGCCTGTGTCTGTGCTGATGGGAACCAATGTCTGGCAGTGAGGGCCAGATTCTGTCACAGCTTGGTACAAAACACCTCAGCTCAGTCACAGGAGGTAAATTCAGTCTCAGCTTCAGCATCTCACCAAGAATCCCTCAGAAACATTGCTCATGTCTGTGCATTGTGGTTATTAGGTGCAAGAAATACAGTTTTTAAAACTGTAATTAATCATTTCTCAGTAATCTCTTTTTCTATGCTTTTATGGCATCAACGGGTATGACTGTTTATTATGTCTTACCTATAAAATCTGACCTGTTTTATATACTCTTTATGGAAACAGTGTACAGTCATAAATTAAAAGATGCAACTGTTTTGGATATTTTACTGGTGGTCCTGTATTTTCCTGCCAAAAGTGCAGCTGTTTTAGGTTTCTTGGGATAACATTATAAAAGGCTGTGTGCGTTTTGCAAGTTTATGCTTGGATTGCCAAGCCAGAGGTGGAATGACTCAACCTTCCCAGGAGCAACATGTACCAAGTGAGGAATCCAAACAGCGCCTGGAGCGCCCCTGCGGAGAGCACTCGGTGTTTGTGGGGCTGTGTCTGATGGTCAGGGTGGGAGATGCTCCTTGTGCTGCTCCTGCCGGGCTCTGAGCTGTCTGTTTGATGGGCTTTGGTGCACAGCTGGTGGAGAATCTGTCTTGGACGTGTCTCGTGGGGTGCAGGAGCTGTGGGGTGATGAAGCCATCCTGGAGCAGGAGCTCTGTGTGTGGCTGGGGTGGAGCCCTTGGAAGGAGCCAGGGGGAGCCAAGAGTGGCAGTGCCAGCACAGGCAG